TATCTACACCTAAACCATTTTCATCACTTGTATAATTTTGTGCTAATGATGTTAATTTTGATCTCTTTTCCATGACATATAATATATTTGAATATGTATCTACATCTTCTATTCTATATGGATCTCTTGTATAAATTTCATCAAAGATCTTTTCGGATATTTCAAAATCTCTTAAATTATATGAAATTAATGCTTCTTGACTTTTCAAGTAAATTGATGTTGGAAATAACTCTTTTAACTCTTCTATCACTTTCTTTAATATATATATATATGTCAGCAAAAATAATAAATCCATTTTGATACTTTTCCATTTCTTCTTGATTTATGATCAAATCAAAAAAAAAAAAAAAAATCGCTTACCGTCAGATCTTCTCCATTTCCAGCATTGTGACATTCAAGTGATGCATGTACAAAAAAGAAACGATTCATGAAACCATCTTTCGGTAATTTAGAAAGTACAGTTTCTAGCTAAAAAAAAAAAAAAAAAAAAAATCAGTGATCTTCGCGAGGGATAAAAGGTATTAAACCCGAACCAGATCAACAACTAAACAAATCAAAAACATTTCATTAACCTCATCAGCTCCTTCGATTAACTTTTGAAGAAATTTCCATGCGCTCCAATTATATGAATATAAATTAATAGAGTGTATTAAAGCATCTATAGCTTCAAGTCTGTAACTTTGTCTCGATAATAGGATCGCTTTTCTATCGTATCATGAATGATTTCAATGAGCATTTTTTTTTTTTAAAAAAAAAAAGTATTATTCTGTAAATCACGTCAAAAGTATTCAAGACATACAGATATAAATCAAATGGGTCTATTGAAGTTTGTAATTCATTTAATAAACTTTGATGCTTCTTTGTAAATCTTCGTTGATGTTGACGCGCAGCTAAACAAAAGAAATTAATAGAAAAAGACAATCAAAAGCTATGTTGTATGTAGATATATATGTGTGTGTGTCTGTGTATTGGAAGTTATATCGATAAGAGAAAGTTGAGAAACATACAAAGAGCAGGACCCGAGACGTCATTCAAACGTTTTTCGATCGCCAAAAACTTTGAGTAAAGACCCAAAAATCTTCCAGGACCTGATTTAATTGATGAAAGAGCTTTAGTAGCTCTTTCATACTCTTTTGTATCAAAATAAGATCTTCCAAGGTAATAAAGGTCCGAATGTATTTCTGTTTCATCAATTTGATGATTGTGATTTATTAACATCTCTTCATTCGTATCAAGATCTAATTTAATATGAACAAAAAAATCATTCGTTTATTTTTGATTTTTATCGCCAGTTTATAAATTTTTAAAATTCGAACCTGAATTTGGATTTAAATTGATTGATACGAGTAATTCGGCTGCCCATTTTGATGCTATTAATAAACCTCTTGAAGATAAAGTAGGAATGGCTGATCGTAGTATAGAACGAGCTTTTATTGGTGTTGGTAAGATTGTGTTGGTGAAATTTGAGAAATCAGTCATCGTTAATTTGGTTGTTTTTTTTTTCGATGGAGTAAGAACGCGACGACTGTGAACGCACCACTGAAGATTTAAACTGAAATTAGTTTTATCTCAAGTTTTAATCAGCTTTTTCATCACTTCCATCATTTTAAACGACGACGCTTGATATCTTTCAAATTAAATGGGGACTTTCCTCCCATGCAAAAAACAAAACAATCCCATAATTATGCTTTTTGAGAAAAAAAAAGAAAAAAAAAAAAAAACATTTTGATTACTTTTTTTTTTTTTGGCTTACTTGTGTTAGGTGAGTTGATTCTGGTGTAGCAGGTTTGTGGCCAATGCCACTATTCCCATCAATCTTCACAACTCCAACACAAATACCACCTACTTAAAGTTGATCCTACTCCACCAAAGACTATATTAAACCCTATTATCAAGAGTTTAATTCATCATTATTTCACTACAAATAAAGGTCATAAAAATCATAGAGATACAATATCTAAATGCTCTCACTCTTATTCACGAAATAATCCTTGCTTGATTTTTAAGAAATTATGAGAGGAATTTTGATCAAAAGGAAATACATTTATGTATGAGTTATCATCATTGGTAGCTACAATAGCTTGAAATTGTAGTTTTCATCCCATTTCATACCTCTATGGATACCAGCCAACAAAATGTACCCAGTAGAAACAAGTAAGCCTTACTAGTTTTTCTTTTTCTTTTTTGTTTATTTCTACACAGATTAGTAAGGTTTTACATTCACTATGGTGGTTTTTTCTTTCCTTTTTTTTTCTCTTAGGAAATAGATTTTGTCTATCTTTCACATGATGGAATCCTAGCGCTCCTCCGCAAAAAAAAAAAAAAAAAAAAAAAAAAAAAAAAGGTTCATAGAGTCAGGTGGAATATCTAAAAAGCTATGAGAGTTACCTGTATTGCTGCTTATGTTACACAGTAATGTGCAATGTGAAAGAATAATTGAAAATGGTTTTTAAAGAACCATAAAAAGTTTAGTACAGTAGAAGCCGGTGCCTTCCTAATATACAAAAAGAAATTCATCAGACTACCCAATTCTCATTATCAGATATGTAGACTCTTTTACTTTTACAAGGGTTTATTGAAGTACTTTCAAATCCTCTTGCCTTTGGACAGTACCTGTTTTTGTCCTTTGCTCTCTCTCTCTCTCCCTCCCTCTAATAATTATCTTTTAATTTTCTGCTACTCACCTTCTTTGGTTTGTTTGATTGATTGAAATTGGAAAAAAAAAAAAAAAAATGAAGTTAGCAAGTTGAAAGAAGATTTAAAATATTTTGTTCCATACTTGAATAGGATACTTGGTAAGTTTTCTGGCAAACAAAAAATAAAATAAAATAAAATAAAAAAATACACAACTCCTTTGCGCTAGAAGACCCTGTCCTATGGCGAACGAAACCATTACTCACTTTTCGATAGATCAGATCAACCTTGTAGCTAGGCTATCTTGGTAGTCATTGTCCACTAGTTTATAGGCCTATATAAGCTGACGATATGTTACATTTAACTTTAGTTTCCAAGAAAGAGTTCAAAGAGGATTTTACACCTAAAAGCTGACAAAAGTGGAAACATCACCATATTGTATGAGGGCATATCCACACAGAAATTCCGGGCTAACTACCGCCAACAACTCACCTTGGTAACACAAAGGCACGTTATGTGCATGTGAGGACCCCATAGATGGGTATTATACATGGAAGTGACAGCGCCTGCTCAGTCATACGTTTGGACATGACACAATATAAAGTGTTTTGTGTTCAAAGAAGCAAAGAACTCTAATATAATTGTAGCAGTGTATTATAGCTAGCAAATAAAGGGCCAAAACACTTACAAAGATATGAGGCAAAAATCCTACAACATGAAGATGATGTAAAAAAGAACTATTTACAAGAAACTACCTCCTCCAAATCTCCCACCCAGCCCTTTTGCATCTCGGATCATATCAGCTTTCTGTTTGTCGCTCATTAGTTTACCACCTAAACCCATCATTGAGTCATGATCCCAAACCACTTCCTCTTTCTTGTCTTTTTCCTTCTCTGCTTTTGTCTTTGCTTTGGAAACATTGGATGATGCAGTTTGGTGGAGGTCGAGAAGTGACGCGCCTCGTTCGGCTTTCTAAGGGTTCAACCCGAGTTTAGACACACTTTCAGTCATATTACGTTCTGATAAGCAGATGCGAAGAACAAAATTGACTGACGTTGTGTTCTTCGACTTGCTTCCTCATCTCTCGGTCCCGTTTCCTTCGCTTAAGTTGATCCAGATTGCCATCCTCAGATTCCATATCTTTTGCGACATCTTCTGCCCGTCGGCGCTTGCCCATAGCCTCATCTTCCAATCGCTGAGCTCTTTCAGCTGGCGTTTCAGTCCACAAAGACCCAGTACCACCTTGTCGATCTACTGTGCCTGAATGTGGCTTTGAAGTCTGCTTGAATCCGCGCGATTTAATTTTGGTTGGATCGACAGCTGAAGAAGGTTCCCCCGGTACATAAGAGATCCGTTTCGATGAAAAAAAAAAAAAAAAGAAAAAAAAAAAAAAAGAAAAAAAAAAAAATCATACATTAACTGAAGAATTGAAAGGTGGATGAATTCTGGACTGACTGACAGGCTGGAAGGTCAAGCTCTTTGGGTGGTACAAGCATCCATTCTTCGCGTTTCAAAACTTTGCTTTCCCTCTCCAAACGATCCTTCTCCGCTTGACGCTCCTCGCGCTCGCGTAGGGCGCGTACCCCTTCAGTCTCAGCATCTTCATGGGCTAGATGGGACGGCAAAGGCATCGGACCCGCGAATTCGTCTTGTTCTTCATCATCTGACTCTGGTTCAACATCTGCCGGCCTCTGGAACCCTACGGGAAGCGTTGGTCCGATGGGTCCGCTTGGTTTTGGTGCTGCTGTAGTCTTAGCAAATTCAGGTGGGAGCTCTGGCATAAAGTCGTCCTCCGAGTCATCCGAAACGTTGGCAATAGAGGAACCAGCGGCCAATGGAGCCTGTTTAGAAGACGGCATCGAAGGACCGGCGACTGGCGATGGCATTGAGGAAGTTTGAAGTCAGAGAGTGAGAGGAGGCAGAAGAGCTAGACAAAATGTAAGCGCAAGGTGGATTTGAATCTCAATCCACCTTCCCCGAAACCCGATACAGTATAGAACTGATACCCGAACCCGGGACCACACCCAACTCGAGAGTGTCGGTACATAATCACCACCTCAACACAACACTTTCAGGATCACAATGAGCTCAAGCCTGGACAGCCTGAGCAGATGAACAACCCACTTGTCAGAATGAGAAACATTAGCTTTATTTCAGCAGCCAGGGTCTAAAAAAAACTTGCAACACAAATCAGTGCTAAATCCATACTATACGTGAAGGAAACCCTATTGCAAGAAACAGACACAACACAATTGATAAACTGTCTATAACTCGCAACGGCGGTATGCAGGAATTCTTTGGGGAGGACTCGTTGCACAAAAAATGAGAAGGGGAGAAGGATGCTGGCACAGCAAAAACAACAGTGACGACGACAGTGAGGTTCGAACTCACGCTCACAGAGTGAAACAGCTATTGTACGCCAAGGAGCATTCAAAACTGTCGCCTTAGACCACTCGGCCATATCGTCCCGCCTCCGGAAAACGTTGACACGCGCCACCGTCCGGCCAACGTGACGTGAGCCCGAGGCCAACCCGAATTTGGGCGTTGTCACACGCGGGTCTGATGTACGCCACCGGTCCTTTGAAGTCAACCAGTTGGTTGACGTCTGCCAACGACTACGCATCAATCCAACCCAGCCGAATCCAAAACTCCACCACCATCATCCACGCCGGGCAAATCGGGGTCATGTAGTGTATACAGGTTGCGCGGTCCTGAATGCATGTCAGGACCTGGTGCACCTGTCAGAATACAGGACATCTCATCCTATGAACGCTCTGTATCAATCATACAACCAACACACATATACACAGATGAATACTGAAGTGCATGTTGTGACATAGCCCTATGTAAAAACTGGTGGAAATATGTACCCTAAGTATGTAAAATGCCTCATGCTTCACCTTTGTGATACTACCCTATCCTTGATGACATATTACCCTTTATGTATCCCACAGCAAGCTTAAGCATGTGTATGTATTCTCATCAATGAGGACTACACATATCAAAGGAGCAATTGAATCAGGGCACAGATCCTTTTAACTCCTGAGTACCCAAGTGATGCATTGAGAACTATGTCTAATTCCATAAATACCAGCCCTTTGTAACTCTCTTTTGGACTATATTGCCCAGTCCTACATATTGTATTCAAAATTTTATTCCAAACCTTGTTGGAAGTCCTTCTTAAAAACAATTGGAACTAGATAATATAATCTAAACTAAATACTAAAATGATATAAATATAACAAAGGATTAATACAAGCTATAAATGATTTATATTAATCAATAAAACAGTTTAAGTTAAACAAATCAATTTGTTGATTTGTATCATTCAAATTGGATAGGATCAGTCAATTGAAACAAAACAGATCAAAGATTTTAAGGCAAGTGTCCCATGTGTCTACACCAAAGACATAAAGTGTTAATTGAGTTTTTTCAGGTTAAGCCAGAATAAAGGCTGTTTTGGACTTTCCTGACATTGCTACCAGATATGCATGTTACTGGTCTGAGTAGCAATGGTCTGGTGCATGGAAACATGTCATGTAAGTGTGACCACCCTGTCCATATGAAGGTGACTTGTCAAAGAGAGCACATGGTGTCATGTTTGAAATCACCTCAGAATCCCTCTTGGATCCAGTGCCTTAGTGTCTGGGGGGTGGTGGCCCAAGGGCTCAAGCCCACCCTTGTTACTCATGTTCATTCAATACAAGTCACTGATTCATGTTCATCATGATGTCAGCTCATGAATGTCAGTACAATTGTGAACTGTGCAGTGATACACAGGCATACAGTACACACCTTTCAGCACATGGTGCATTGAGCAAAAAAGGAAGTTACTTTGCATAAAGGGAAAGCTCATGTGCTGGCTCTGGGTGAAAAAAGAGAACAATCAGAGAACTAAAAAAGCTCTTCATTTGCTCTTGTCAACAAGTCACCTTGATACAGACAGGGTGGACATGACCCAGGGCATGGGAATTTTTTCTGTTTTTTACAAGACCATGCAACCTGTATACACTTCATGACCCCAATTTTCCCAGCATGATTGTACCAAGAACGTCCTCCTGGAGTTCCAGATTTGGCTAGGTTGGATGTATATGTAGTCATTGGCAGACATCAACCAATTGGTTGACTTCAACAAACCAGTGGCATATGTCAGACCCATGTGTGACAACACCCAAATTTGGGTTGGCCTCAAACCAGGGCTAACCCATGGCTCATGTCACATTGGTATGAGGCTGGTGGGTGTCAATGTTTTTCCTGCAGTGTCTGATATACAGGGTGTCAGCCCTGAGGACTGCACAGCAGTCCCACAGACTGATGTACCACATTATTACATACAATAACAATGTGTAACATGATGAAATACATAATGAACATATGGGAACACAGAGTGTAACATAAGTATTACACATACAGCACATAGTGTAATACATATGTAGCATTGATGTAGTAATATGAAACTTCACCTCAGGCTCAGTTTCAAGAGTCATAAGAGTAAAGTACTTATGACAAGAGCCACCTAACAGGCTTTGTCACTTAAGTACACAACCACAAGTTGACCAGGGTAAGCCAGTAAAAGCATAAATTAGAACCACAGGTCAACCCACATTCTAAAAGTGTGCAGAAGGTAATCTGAAAGGTATATAAACCCTTCCCATTGACCAAAAGTAAGGACTTTCCCCCAACTTTTACCACAACCACCTAAACAGAGCAATCACACAACATTGAGGATATCTTCTATAAGAAATATATCTGCTCAATAGTGTACAGCTCTATAGATGTTAGTATTGAAAATTCCAACCCTTTGAGAGATTAACCATTTCCTTCCAGGATCCCTTGGTGTAAATAAGAAGTCTCACCAAGGAGTAGAATAAATAAAAGGTTAGAATATAGACCAAGGAACCAGTGGAGGATTAACAACCCTCACTACTATATTCAGGATAGAAGCTCTGCAGGTAGTTGTTGGCCCAACTACAAGTCAGGTTGTCCTCCAGGGAATATCACCCTGAGGTATTAAAAAGAAGACTTCTTTTGTTTAAACAAATCCTCTTTTTAGAGGTCATCTAACTAAAGTCTACACTTGGGTGAACCAGTGTAGACTTAGTAGAGTGCCAAAGGAAGCCAACAGACATTGGCTCTGCCTTTTTGACAGCCAGGAGGTAGCCTAACAGAAGCTCCCCCCTGACACAGGGGCTCAGAATTACAGATATAAAAAAAATACTCAAGAAGCCAAAGTGTGAAAAAATTCCTTATCAAACTACTACAGTTAATCATGTTTTGTATTCAATAAAGGCATATATTTTAAATCTTTCCTTTTAGAAGATTTTACACCTTCTCAACATGGAGCTCAGTGTTAGTAGTACTTGATCAGGCTTGAATGTGAAACTGATTGTGAAACAGGCCTTTCAACAACACAGAAAATTGCACTTCAAAATACATAGGCTATCTATGTTTATTGGATCTGCAGTGTGTGCCACACTATTGAAAGTGTTTTTACACAAAGTTGCAAGAGAACAAACTGATGAGGGTGAAACTGTTTTATGTAGTGTGATAATCAACACTAATATCCTAGACACAACTGTGAGGTTTGGGCAGACAAACCTATAGTAACAGTTAAATTAATATGACATGTCAGTTGAAGTAATTTGAAGTTTATCGACTCAGATAATGAATCATTTTAACTGGTCAGGTTCTTCGATCACAAGTGATATTTTTCATTCCTAACCTGTTTTATGTAGTGTGATAATCAACACTAATATCCTAGACACAACTGTGAGGTTTGGGCAGACAAACCTAGACAAACAAGAAGAGATAAAAACTTGTGAACAATAGTGTGAGAGATATTTAAGGAGAGTATGTAGTTAATTAATTTGTTCTACCTATAGTAACAGTTAAATTAATATGACGTGTCAGTTGAAGTAATTTGAAGTTTATCAACTCAGATAATGAATTGTTTTTAAACGGTCACTATATTTAAATATATATATCGAGTTTAAGAGAGATAATAGACGTAATCATAATTGATCGATCAGAATATATATATGATTAGAAGGAAGAGAGAATAAAATAAGAAAAAAGGTTAAAAAGGCAAAAAGGGTGTTACGTACGGTTCTTCGATCACAAGTGATGAAGAACCGTACTGTAGTTTGCAAAAAGTTTGTCATCAGCTCCTCGAGAGTTGTTGGGAGATGGTC